GCTATCTGTACAATCTCTAATACAGAAATCACGTGGTGTTACAGTTGCGCGAAAGGAGCACAAGCCCTAGTGTCCTGCAAATCATCTCGGTTGGCACAAGCTGAAATCGTATGCGATGATTCGAGTTTTGTCATCAGTTGCAATGAAAAAGGATCCGAGTCAGTGTTACGATTGAGTTTCGCAAAGGCCCGTATAAGAATTATGTGCTCAGTCTCCTGTGGTGGAACACCATCGACATTCGAGATAGCGGGAATCTTAAAATTCACGCAGTCGATAGAGGGTATGATCAACCTATGGATTAATGGACATGCGATCAGTTTCCAGGAATTCGAATGGCCGGACGTGTTTCATATCGTTGACGTTTTTATTCGATGGTACAAAATGTTGCTCTTGGCTATCATCGGTCTCTTAGCAGTGGTAGCTGCAACTTATCTGCTTTTTTGCAGCTTATGGACTGAAGCTAGTCGAGGGCGTGTTTCGAGTCTTCACGACGATTTTTCAGCTGTTTCTTCGTGTTTGCTTTCGCGTCCCCTGCACTTTCTCAAAAGGTTTCGCACGATGCATGAGAAATTTTTATAGGCGACACTTCTACTGGTTATGCATAATCGCTTGTTATAGAGTAGAATTTTTTTTGCATGGCCCAAAAATACGTCAAAAAATGAGAACTTCGACCGAGTTTACTGCATTTACCATATCAAGTACGCGTTTACCAGGATGGCTGCAGAGGACGTAGACGACGACAATAAGTACTGGTCCACGTTTATGGTCAAGCAGCACTATAGATGGGAGGTCATCAAAGGCGATCTATTATAGATGCAATTTCCGAGGCTTTTCAACAACAAGTCAGTATCGCGGCGATGATCCAGTTGCAGTGGAGTTATACCTAGACAGAAGAAAGCTTCATGTTGGAGGCCCTGGCTCACAAGATCCGTACTGTGGCGAAACTTATGAAGGACATGATTCCGACGAGAGAAAGGTTTTCACGTATGGGAGTTCGTTTTGTGTGCACCCTCCGCTTCTACAAAGACCAAATATTCATCGGTAAACCAAAGAAGCCCAAGGAGGAATGGGAAAGTGAAGCAGAGGCAGCTTTTCTCCAGCTTGATAAGAACGTGAAGCGATTCAGTGCTGTCATTAAGGAAATGGAGCGGGAGATGGAACAGGCGGAGAAAGACTTCAACGTAGGGCCCTGCCACACGAACGCTCAACACATCAACACTTTATTGCGTCGAGCCTTCGATAACTTGACCGCAATGGATAAGGACACTGCAGACGAACGTTTCGAGTCTCTTCAGCAAAAGTTAGACGAAAGAGTGAAGAGATATCGCGTTTGATGAAAGCGCTAGAGCCGAAGCAGAATACGGCGGAAGACGTGGAAATGATGGATGATGCCTACTGGTCGCGTATTGTAGAAGAGGTTCACGATGTCGACGAAGCGAACCAGGTCCAGACCTCCCCACCGGAACTCGTATCCGAAGGCTCAGACGAGGAGGAAGAACTGGATTCCCGGTCAGCGGCTGGTGATGAGGAAGAAGCCATGAATATTGAAGATCAACTGAAAGTGGTGTGTGACGAAAAAGGGGAACGCGTTGTCGAAAGAGTTCAAGCTCATCGAGTAGTCAAGCGCGTATCAGAAAATCGTCACGAGGATCATCGTCAGGCTTCACGACGGGAAGAGAGAGAGAGCTAGAGAAGCTGATACAGGACGTGCAAAAGAAGATCGACCACATGGAACGAGCTCTGAAAACATTCCCGTACAGAAAGAAGGAGACTTTCTCTCCGGGTGTGAAGAGAACGACCAAGTGCTGTTTCTGTGGTGTCGTTGGAAGGCATTTCTCAAACTCTTACCCGACAGTCACTGACGGGCAGGAGAGATGAGAACTCATGCTGGAAAAGTATTTTTGCCAATGCCGTCTGAACTGATGCGGAATGTTCCACCTCTGCTCCCACAAAAAGAAACAATGTTTTTATTGTGGGCGCGTGAAAGGCCGTTCGAGTTCGTGATTCTGAGTGAACATCATCATACGGCTCTGTGTAGCGTCCCAGACAGAAGAAGAAGGGCCCGTTAGCGTATCGTAGAGGAGCCCAGGGAGGAACTTCTTCAGCTGCTGGGAGAGTTGGCGTTAGATGCAGTGCTGCGCCGACGTGCGCAGGAAAAACGACAGGAGGAGGAGAAACAAAGTGGAAGGAAGTGAGGGAAGCCGGAATTTGGGCTAGTTTTGGAGACTGAGATCAAAAACCTGAATTGTATGATTGTTTGATGTTGATTGGTTGATTTTGCCTTCTCTATTGTCGGCCGGAGTGACGGCAAACCGTCCAGAATTACTCACTTATTTGTTTCACTTTACTCATTTACTCAATCATTTATGCGTATGCTTATGCTTATTAATCCATTTATAAATCATTTATGCCTCTTCTCATCACTATCAAATGTACTCCTTTGATTTCTAATCAATAGGACTTCGCGAGCTTAGAAACGTCGATGTTTTCGATCGTGTTTGCGGATCAGACTCCTTACAGTCTCTCGAGGAGGCTTCCCCATATAAAAGGGCATCGGCCGGAGGGAGAGGTCTTCATTCGCGTAGCAACACCCTCGCGTTTCACCCACGCGTAGCAGTGGGATTTCTTATGCTTAAATTCATTTATTTTATACTTATTCCTTTTCTGTGCAGTCTCTGTATTATTCGCAGGTAATTGTGCTTCAAACGCTTCTAAGCTAATGGTCGACTAGGAAGATTTTTGAATTTTTTGACTTCTCATATAATCGTACATTTATTTTTATTAGTTTATTTAAAATAAATGTTTGATTACCCAAGTTTGAGGGCCTTCTCGAACAACACAAAACATCCGCGTGGCAAAATTTGGTTTGGCGAGCTTTGGTTGAAAAGTTGAGAAGGTCTTCAAATTCAGATGAATCTTTTTGATGGTGGGATTGGAACCATTCATGAAGGTTGTAAATCTCACGTTCCCCTTTCAGGCCTGGCAAAGGATACGCATCGGAAGACAGCTAGAGAAGGCTTGTTAACTTTCGAAAAACATGGGCAATATTTTGATACCTGCAACTCTTTTGGAAACGTATTAAGTTTTACGCAATAGCTTGCAGTGTCAAATTATTTTTGACCCTTTTCGATCAGCATGAAATTCCGAGACATGAAGTTATCGAAGAGCTCTTCCTCTCCGAACCTTGTTTCAATTGCATTTTCTATTTGAATAAAATGAAAGGTGGCGCAGTCAAAAGTTTGACAAGTCTGCTAAGTATACTTTCGCAGCTGCAACAACTGTAATGATAGCCTTAATGAAGAATACATGATATGAAATCTCTCTCGGACAATAAAGCTACGTTCGCACGGTTATGGCGCCTCTAGCTATGGAAGTTGGCCATGGCGCAACAACTAGTCCTTTACCACGCACACAGTATATGTTGTCTGATGAGCCTTTGAAGTAAAGAAGCGCCTCTCACCTTCAGTATGTCCCTCAAGAAAGCTGACCTGAACAGATCATCGATGGGGAAATCTGGATCCTTGATGAAGTCCTGCAATAAACAATATCGTTGTAACGCTTGCAAATTAACTTATTACCGGTGAAGATCAGGGACGGTAGTAAAGTGGCCTCAACTGCTAGTTACCATGTGACCATGAGCTCGTGGTAACTTGGTCATGGCTTCCATCCATGTCTCCCTAAAAGATGCGTAGAGCACCTCTGGAACCCCTCCGAAGATTTCCCGTCGGAATGGTCGAAGTGATTTCGAACTTACTTGGAAGTTGGGGTGATGACATCACGTGCTAGTAAGAGGATTAGCAGGGTGGTCATTTANAAACTAACAGCGATGGCGGCGGAGGAAAAGGAAATAGTGCGCGCGCAGTGGAGGCGCAAACATGCTGCCACTTCATCTCAAAAAATCCTCCGGAGACTTATTTAGAGATGGGCATCTCCAAACAGATAGGCTGTGTGGGTCAACGCAGTAAGTTGAAAAAGGAAAGGAAGCAAACTTGCATTGATCCGTCAATGGTGTAGCGCCTGCGGTCCACGTTTGTGTTGAGCCGGCCACGGGATCGATACTACTAGATGTCAAAATCTTGCAACTTTTGTGGGTTATTGCCTTTCCTCTAGAATTCTTTCACCGTCAATAAGAAATGGCTCCATAGTGCAGTGGTAGCGATGCCGCTCATGGGACGATGCACCGAAGCTTTCAAACCGCGTGTGTGACGCGACTTTTGCAAGCAATGTGTGATGCTCACCACTTCGCCTATGGCAAAACCGCCATTGGATCAATGGGGACGTTCCACCTGCCGCTGGCAAGCTTGCTGGATCTAGCACCGCTTGAAGCTAAGACTTGCAAAGCAACATCCATTGCATACCTTTCTATCAACATCTCTTCCAGTGTTGTGGTCGAGTGATCCCTGGTGCAGTGGCAAAAAACCAGCCTATGAGACCTACCATCCAGGGCTCAATTCCGAGAGAGTTGCAAGTTTTGCAGGTCGGGTGGCGAGGCTCGCAGTTTCAACGAGGGTCATGTCCATGTTTCCACGTTCTCTACTCCTCGGCAATGGATGTAAATCACCACATTTGACTGCCAATCTAGGGCACTTTACTACCGTCCCAGGAGCCCATCATGCGGCGAACGCCGCTTCCCAAGTGTTGTCGTCATGCATTTCAGTTTGCAGACCCAAACTTTTGAACGGCCTGTATCCAGTCAAAAGAATTTTCACAGATTTTGCAGAATTTAATTAAATCTTAACTTGGCCTGCTGATTAATTTTTACATTTGTATTCTGAAATGAGTGTTTGGTGATCCCAGCTACCACATCTCACTTCAGTTGATTTGAGGCTGAAGTGCTAGAGAACATGGGTCCTGACAGAGAGCCAGAAAAAGCCACCTTTTTCTGTGCAACCGTCACGCGATGAGTCTTCTGACTAGCAACCGCTAACAAAGGATTCTCCACGATGCGGGAGAAATCACTGTAGGTTTTTTGTTTTTGTTTCGCTTATTTCGCTAACCTCGAGTGATGCACGATCAATCAGGGCGTAGAGAATGTAGAAGTTGTCGAGCTCGTTCGCACAAATTCCCAGAAAGGTGGAGAGATTGTCATGGTTCAGTTGTCGCATCTCGTACAAAAATTTTAACTCTGGTCTGAAAAAAAAAACGTTTGAGGGCAACACTCGGAATAGCTTTCACATGCCATCTGTGCAGACTTACAGCTGGCAAGATTTCTATTAGAAGCGAACCTTCATCTTTTATTTTGGCATCAATACCCCACTCGTTCTACTGCGTGAGGTATCGATAAAACACAGCGTGAGGATCTTACCACTGCCCATACTCAGATCCCACATAATTGAAGTTGTGATTTGAAAAACCGGTCAGAATATTGTTTCATGCAAAAACGTCACTGCGCGCAGAAGAAGGCCGAGATCGCCTCGGTATGGGTGTGTTATTCTACTCAGATGAACAGCAGTAGTAGTGGAGTGCGAAAACTTATTTGACTCGTTATTACCCCTGGCTCCATAGAAAAGGTCACCAGCGGCGCGGACGCGTTCGCGTGTTGGTGACGTCAATTTGACGTCACAGCGGCGGCGAGGGAATGAGCAACGGCTGACGTTACCGCCAATACTTCAATACATAATGAGCGTTTGTCGCACAATAAGTTCACCGTGTAATAAATACTGGTGTAAGTAGGAATCAAAGTCGAAGAACGGGTTTATAGGAGCAACTTTAACTTGGTGTTGCATTTCTAAGAGTTCACAGATGATGGGATTGATTTCTTTCGTTTCGTTATGGATTGGAATACCCATTTCTACTAAGTAATTCTTGGTTTTCGTAACATTTTATGGTATTATTGGCATGCGCCCTCTCGATTACAATCGGAACTTTGCATATTTCATTTGAAAATTCCTACTCTTTGGGGAGGATGACACTTCACGTGCTAAACTCATTTCACTCTCCGCACTATTGATTGCATTGGCTAGTAAAGTGCCAGCAACTCTATTACTGTTCCAGTGAAGTTTCAGGGTGCTGGCCCGTTTTCCGTTGCTCTTGCCGCAGCTGTGACGTCACCAGCACGCGCTCGCGTCCGCGTCGCCGGTGACCTTTCTCTCCTCCCATTACCCCTAGTCTTGACCATCATTCCATGTGCTAAAGTTATGGATAGCTTAGGAAGTTGTCTTTTAAATCTATGGCACTTGTATTTCGCTTTACAGAGTCTCACGGCGAGTCTGAGGGGAAGTCTCAGAAGCTACCCAAAAAGGTCAATATGTTACTTTGATTTCAAGCCTACAAGCACATTCAGGGGATGCTGTAGATTCGCTATTGGAGCAACTTCAGTACGCCCGAGTGTGCTTTTGGTGGCTTTTCTCGTCGCGAAGCAATGTTAGAAGAACGAAAAACATGAGGTGATAGAAATACAAGTGCTAAAACATATCAAGCAGAAGCGGAACGTATTCCACTATGCTTGATCGCACCTTTATTCAAAACTCTGCCCAAATTTTGCCACGGTTTCTCGCCTGAGATGATGCCTGCCATTTTTTCCACCCAAGAGAACTGACGATTCTTTCACACGCACGAATTATTCCGCCGAGACATAAAGTTTCAAAGAAGGTTCGCTGACAGAGCACGGCTTGCTAGAAATGAATGTTTCTCTTTGACACTACCTTGTTTTCTATCGAAAAGCAGGGAGGGATCACGGAGCTATGCTGAGCTCCATATCATGCGAAGTATTCGGCGTGATATCGGCCCAAATCTCAGGCAGTCGCTTGGTTCGACAGTTTTGGAATGAACTACCTTTCCCGACAACATTTTTTATACACTGTCCCTTACAGAAGTAAAATGTTGATGAATCAATAAAAATGTTTTCGTCCAACAGAAGTGAAAAGTAATCGAAAAACATGAGGTGGACTTATAATTATTGGGCATCGGCGAAGGGGCCTTTTACACACAAGCTATTAGAAGAAATTACTGCGATGTTAGATTAAAAGCTGATGTTCATAGGCAATCTTATATTTATATTTGTGACATTGTTACATTGCAGAATTTTCCGAAAACATCTAAACTGTGAGATTTTGTGAAATGCTAAGTGGAATTATAATTATGGGTAAAGATGTATATAAAGTGTATAAAGATAGATATGGTCGGTAGAATAGTTCAGTTGAGTTTGAGCTGAGTTAGAGTTCACTTGTTCACATCATCCCCGGTTTTTAAGTATGGCGTCAAGTACTGTCACCTTTCCCAACAGGACACTACACTGGAGACCACCGATTGGCGATCAGGAAGCAACCACTCAGCAGAATCCTGTAGATCTCATTGGAAAAGATAAAATGAAAAAATACTATGTTCTGTATGAAGGTTTATATATGTACAGTAGTGTTCAAAAAAGTCTAAACTTTTTTTATTTCGAATCCAGCGCAGACAATAATTAATGAAATTGCCTCAAATTCACATGTCATGTGAAACATCAAGACCAGGATGCGAAGAGTACACTGGCTCTACGAAATCAAAAAATCGAAATTGAAAAATACGAGTTTTTTTCAAGATCGCGATTCGGAAGTTTCGATACTTTTTGTTACCCTAATCATTGTAACTTCTACTCGTCAATCTTTGCATGTTTGTGTTAAATTCAGTTCAAACATCAAGCATTGTGTACTTTTCAAAGAAGCCAGTGAAGCATAGAAACCATACTTCCACATGTCTGCCTTGACCACACAGCTCGGAATATATCGAGAAGTTGTTTCTCAAGCTGCGCGGAGCGTTGCTATCAAGATGCGCGTTATCAGTGCCGAGCAAGCATAAAGAGACCGACCTCCCACAGAAACAGCTCACAAGAAAATCGGCTTTCTTCAAGAGCTTTGAAAGTAGGTCGCTTCATCTCGCCCACCTGATTCTTAACCGAGAAACGATTTTTGGCTCCCCTTTCAGCCTAGTGAAAGTCGACTAGGCTCTAGTAAAGTCGCTGTCACGGCTATCGACCCTGATGTATCACAGAAGATATCCGAACAAGATCTCTCCGTTGGGCTCCAAAAGAAGGAAAGCTTGATTGGCTCCCGCCAACAGCTGGCCAGAACAAAAGGCGTGAGGTAGAACTGTGCTGAGAGACGAGTCGTCTTCTGGAGTGCCCCCAACTGTCAGAAATGGTAGGGTTTGAGACTTGATAGAGACAGTTGAATTGTCTGGAAGTATGGAAATGGTGGAAGACACATGCGAAACGAGGTGGAATGCTGGAACTGCAAACGAAAATGAAATATTGCGTCCAGATTTGGATTCACTGGGAAGGTGTCACCTATAATCGACGATCTTTGTGTTTCCATCTTTGCCGAGGCTAACGACTATATAACCATTGCGCTCAGTAGGATAGTGCATTTGAGGAGGCTAGCTGAGAGGGTTCATTTCATTTCCGGTTGTTCAATAGAATTCACTAACTGTCGTTGTCCCGCGCACGACACTGCGGTGGGATCAGGAGACAGTACAATTTCCAGTATTTCGCGTGCATTTGTAACGGAAACAATCATTGGCACATGCAAGACCTGGTAGGGCAATCGAAAGTACCGCAGGAATTCAAAATAAGTGAGAAAAAAGGACAAAACTGCATAAGATAGAGCCATCCTTATCGTTCTAAAGATTCGATGTAACTGCAACGGCAGCGACTGCAACTCGAGCGTTTCACAGTAGAAATCATTATTTCAGGTCTTTTTTTTACTCTCGTACAGTATCATGTATACATGTTAGTCGTTTGATAATGATGATGTAAAATAATAATGTATTCGAAACTATATTCTTAGGGATTTGAGCATGGCTTGTCGAAACACGGCACGGTAAGGAGGGGGAAGGGTAACATCAGATTGAAATGCACTCTATCACCCGATATTCCCCAAATACTATAAATTATTAAATATTCGTAGCCACCTAGCAGTTACATTTTCAAGATAGTCGTAGAATTCCATTTTAACAGTTAAATTTTAGATATAGTACCAACTTGGTCCACTTGATCTTCTTCACGTGTCTCAGAGCGATAAACTCTGCCTTATTACTTCCGAGTAATGCGTACGAAACCACAGTTCGTCGCTTACCAGAGATTCCATCACCTGCCTTCGATCCTTTGAAGTTCGCCTGGAAGAGAAAATAAGTGGAAAATTTTCAAGGTTCGGTTTGCCATGTCATCACAACGAGAAGTATTATGAGGTTTTAATGATTCATGAATACGAACAACCTGCTTGTTCTCTATAATCTTCAACTGATCTTTGGTAACTCTCCAGTGCATGCGATAGATATTAAGACGATGCCTGAAAAGAAACCAATGAATTGGTACGAGTGTTACATTTAACTCAGTTCCTTTCCTACAAAATTTTGTATAGGTATAATGTATGGGCACCATGAATGGATGTGTGCTAGAAGATATCTGACAACACGGAGTGTAGCAAATTCCGCCTCCACCTCTGCTTCCCTAATAAGCTCGCTTCATTACAGAGTTACTGAGCTTACATTACTGAGTTCATACATAAAGTGGCAGTCAAATGCTCGGAAACTTTTTGGATTTGATGCGGCCACCGAACAACGGAACCCTTGAATTCACATAGCATAATTTACAACCGGATCGGATGTAAGTGTTAAGAGCCAGTTCTTTCTTCTTGCCGCGCATGCGCGTCAGAAATCTCGCACCGGAACGGAGATTCTGACGCGTATCAGAACTATCTCATTCAATTTTATTAGCTTGCGCTCTTTCTTCTCGGGTTTTTTGTCCTCTCACCGCCGTTAACATTCATATGAAAGAAGCAATTATTTGTAGAAGCAGGTATCACAAAACTCTGAGAGTTTCAAGGTATTTGAATTTGATACAAGATATTAGATATAAATGCTTTTGACTTCATTCACAGCGAAAGTGATGTTTTTAACTTCTTCGTGGTCATTGTGCGCTCTTCTCATCAAAAACCTACAGCTATTTACACGTTAACCTTTATGCTTCCATCCTTGCCGAAACGATCCTATGAGATTCAGTTGAGATATCAGTTATTGCGCATTTCAAACAAAAAATAAACGGAAGTAAGGTGAGAACGACGCGCTCGCAAAATCGCTCCTGTAACACGCGGTGCAAAATGCCAAAAACTCGCGATGTCGTCAACGTGATAAAATGTGAAATGGCTATGTCTTTGAGTAGTAAAGCAAAAAAAAATCATTTCCAGTAAAACTTGCACCTGCCTCTCTAGAGGGTCACAAGTTTCTTCATATTCAAGGCTTCGCGACGAGGTTCAAAAATTAGGGGAACTGAAATGATTGTCTGTTAGGAAATCGCTTAATTTCCTCTTCTAAAAATTTGCTCAGCAAAAATTAGCATGTCGGTACTTTACACTTTAGTTTTGTTTTCAGCCGTCAAATGACCACAACTTCCTTCATGGTTATTAATTTGGGAAGCTGAAGCCAGTGTCAAACTTCAAGGTTTTAGCTCTCTGAACAGTACCAAAACCAAACTTTTAAAGAAAATTTAGCAACTTTTGAACAGTGTCGTGGTACGCGACTGTCGTCCGGGCGCGCACGCCTGGGCTCTGTCTCGCTCCACGGCCACATGCGTCAGGTGCGCGCGGCCCTAGAAGCGTGCGCCACGTAGTGGCCCCGCCCTCAGGTGAGGCCAGTCGTCATGCGGTCGCCTCTGCCGATTGAGGCGTACTTCCTCTCCGTGAGGGGGAAGCCTCAGGCTACGGCCGTCAGTAGGCCAAGGGCGACACATGAAGTGCGCAGAGCACATTATAGGCGCATTGCTGCCGTGCGGTCGGGCGCACGGTAGTCTCCCTTGGCGGAGCCTCGGTAAGTTCACACCATGCGTCCCTATCGAGGTTCGCCTCGCTTAGCCCAGATGGTGTGATCGGCTGTAGGGCCCTCAATAACATCTGAGGGAGGAGGCAGAGTGCAACGTAGGATTACTGCGAAGGACCCTTCGGAGAACAAGGTCAGATCCGACGCCGGTAGGATGTGAGAGTAGGACGTCAGGATGTTCAGGACGAAGGCCATAATAAATGTGAGTATTTATAATATGTTGTATTATCATGTGTGAAGCTAGTGGTCAGGGAGCGCCAGGGCGATGGGCCTGACTTGAGCGCTATACGATCCAACGTATGTTGCATTGTGTGTTGGTTATTAGGCTATCGTGCAGATGCCTCGGGGAGCGGCGCCGTGCTGTGGGGGAAAGCGGCACGGACCCCGGGATGACCCGCTTGGGATAGACTTCTTCTAGTAGAGAGAAGAGGATCCAGAACCCCCATTGTAGCACCGGGGACGGGACCTGGATGGCAGTCTCGGGGAAGAAGGATACCCTTCCCCCTACGGTTCCGCGACAAACAGACTTTAATTTGAGTTTTCTTAATCTTTAAACCTCATCTTTAATCGTCGCAAAACCCTGAATATGAAGAAAGTTATGACCCTCGAAAGATGCAGGCGCAAATTTCAGTGGAATTGTATTTTTTACTGAATTACTCAATAACTTAACCATTTCACTTTTTTTAAGATAAACTAAGAAGCTACTAGGAAGCTGGAGGCTTGTCGATCTCAAATTTACCTCACTTTTCAGAAAAGAAAACCTAAATTCTCACGAAGAAGTACTACGGAGCTCAGTTCTGTCCGTTGAGTTTTGGCGGCTTTTTTTTCGGTGAAAGTGAGTAATGAAAATTAGGCATACTGGTCCTTCCAATAACGATGGTGGTGATGGGGGTTAATTTAAAGAAAAAGGTGGGAGCGTGACGATTGACCATGCTCCACTGTACGCGAAGCACGAACGAGGTGTGTCACTGCAGGCAGGGTCAACCGTATACTGGTACAAGTTCCAGAGAGGGTGGTCGTATTTAGCCCACGGTGTGGGAGGGTATTAAAGCGATGGTCAGCAGTGGAAATCTCGGTGATATTTCATTCAAATGCGGTTCTGGCGAAGGCGGAAACGGTGGAACGTACGGCTAACTTTGCTTTGATTGATCCTGCTGTCTCAATCACGAGTGGGGATCATTCACTAAGGGGATCCTTCACGGTGAAGTCATGATTCTATTTCAGCCATAAATCACTGGCTTGAGACTCATTATCCACGATAGGAATGAAAAGAACAGAAATATTGCTCTTGTTTTGGTAAAAAATTTGAAAAATCGAAAGGGCTGCTTGCTATGCGTTCAAAGTGCCCATGAACGTCCTTCACAAATGCTGGCGACGGGTATGCTTCTACTTGGCTCTTGGAGTGCCTTCACTAGAAGCTCTTTCTGGCCTTCTGCTTCATTGCTTTTCACATCTTAATTTTTCAATTTCAATTTTACTCCATCCTATCCTATCGATCAATTTGTCTCTACTCCCCGAAATCGCGCGCTTTAACCCGACTCTTTACACTGCGTCGCCTGGTACGTAGCCGGTCAAAGGCAAACTTCTTTCCATGCCTCGCCTTTGGCTCCGCCCGAATTACCTTCGATGTTCATAGCGTGTAGTTTTTGTACGTGTGTTTCTCTTCGGGAAACGAATCTTCATGCGCGAAACTTTATGTGCTCTTTCCAGTGATGGCAGCTGACAGATTCATGTCAAGAAATAATGCAAGAATTTTCCGCGAAGGATTCCTTCAATATTGTAAATCGCGAAATCTGCGCTTGAAGGAGAATTCCACGATAAGATCTACATGAAAAAGGGAACTTACTTGATGAAAACACGGGCGAACTCCTTAAAGGTGCGGATCAAAACGCAATTCTCCGCTAGCCGTGTAGCAGGGAGAGTGAGTTAGCGTCGAAGAGGGCAGCATTGATAAGAGGATGCATCAATGCGGAAATCAGCGGACCAGGAAAGGGTCCCATTTCCTAGGTTTGCGTCGTTTCTCACTGTTTTGTCTACATTTAGGCATCATTAACCAATTCTATTAGGATGTCGGGAAAGTCCTTGGGTATTTTCTTGTTCACATTACAAAATCTTTTGGGATCGTTTTGAAACATTCTCTGTTGAACGCATGTGAGCGGTGGTGAATGCTTTCTCCGTAGCACATCTGTCGTAGCATATCGCAGCATTCGAAGCTTTAAAATTGTCCTGAGGTGTGTTCACTGCTCCTGCCTTCATAAGCTCACAAAGTGCACTGATTGAAGCGATGCAGTAGGAGACCTACGTGTTGTGAAGTACCTCCAGACTATCTTTCACAACATGCCCATTATTTGATTGCCGAAGTTGAGAAAAAACCTTAAATATGGTCGGCCTGCCACCCTCAATGACGAGTGTATTCCGGAGTCGATTTTAGGGAGTGGTGCAAAGCACGAAAACTGGCGGAGCTTTCCCAGTGATATCAGAGCACACTTACCGCTCCTCACTATCGCCTCGAAAAGAATTGAAATTATGGCGAAAGGATTTTCTGTGATCTGAGAGACTACAGACTGTTAAGGCGATAGAATTTTGCATAGGCTTTTGATTTGCCGCCTGGCTCTTGCTTGATCCGCCAACTTTGTTGGTGGTAGTAAGAAGAGGGATTCTCACATAAACCGCACGCGAAAGCACGACTGGCTCGGATGCGTAGAACAAAGGACTGCAACGCCGATTCGAGAACAGCAACCTGGGAAGCAACTTCGAGAGCTCATAAGGCTGCAAATGTTTCATTCACGAAGAGCTGCCGACGAAGTCTACTGCTACATATTAGTGAACAATGATATTAGCAAGTGGATTGGGTTCCCGGCATGGCGCCCGAAAAATCGGAGAAACCTTACTTTATGTCGGCGACGCTTGCCCAAAAATTACGAAGAAGTAACTCTCCAAGCTCGTTATGGGATGACCTATGACCCATTTAGTGTATTCAGCAAACGTGATAGAGACAGACTACCATACCCCTTTTTCGCCGTACTGGAATGGGGGCAGTCCGATTATCCGGATCCACTTGGAGTCAACCCTTTTAAGCTTTTCGTACCAAAGACTAGGGATTTCTGAATTGAATTGGCCATTACCAGCGGACCCGCACGTTGTCAATCACTTCTAAGCTCACCTTCGACTTAGTATGTATCCGACAATAATTACAATCACTGCTATTGCACCGAAAACCACACCAAGAATCAGGCCTAAAAATTCTTACTCTAATGGAAAAAATCTGAGAGAAACAAAGAGCAAACAGTGCATACCGAGATGGTTCTGGCAGTTGCCCATTCGCAGGCATTTGTCAATCACGCCATCCTTTTTCTCAACGAGAATATTCGAATTGACTATACGAACAGTCTGAACATTAACGCTGAACACGTTGATAAAAGCTCCCATATGACGAAGTGAGTCGTAGAAAGACTCACAACAGTAAAGCAAGTGATTGAGCTGCACGTGCTTGGTTGCGTAAGCATTTCGAGAATGACGCTGTCTAAATGTTTCTAATTGATAAAATTGTAAGGTGTTATTTCACCATGATCCATGAATAAACAGTTCACTTCTGACATGAGAATTAGCTTATACTGCACGTCCACTTACCTCGAATGCGAAGCCTACTTTGAAATGGGTGACGTTCTAGCCAAAAATTTGTAATTTATCTCTAAAACTGCTCGAAGGAATCGTGCACTGTAACTCCTTGTATTCCGTTCTGCAGAAATACGCCGGTCTGATCTCCAGCGTACAAGGTTGCATGCGTGAAACCCTCTTCCGAGAAGAAGCCAATTTTTAAAAGCCACACTTCGAGTACACACACACAAACGTTGTTGCAGTGAGTGTACACCATTTCTCCCCGTCAGGTCAGGTCATCTGATATCCGCTTAAAACATTTCTTATTTGTTCTAATCAGGCATGAGACAAACCAGGGAATCTTTCAAGACGTGAAGCGCTTTTTTAAAACACTATAAGAGACACGTACATGGGACCCAGAACTAGGGTACTTCCTTTGAGCGGCCCTAGTGCCAAAAACCAATGATATATCGGTTCATGGACCGACCTCCCGTGGTGACTAAATTTCGCATTTCAGGTAACCTTCCGCAAATGGCGTGAAATGGCACCAGGGCCAATAGTGGAACTTACATTCAAGATCACTACGAACCTCCCTCATCAGGTTCTTACCGAAAAGTGTGAAAATATGTATGGTATTTGAGCGGCTCAAATACGGCGCCGAATGTGGCTGAAACGGATCTATATGGCTGGCCACCAAAAATGATTGGCGACAAACGTTTCGTTTTGAGCTGGCGTTCCAAAACGCGCAAAATGCTAACAATAAGTGCTAATGCGGTGCTAAGTATAGATCGATCATAACTAGGATCATCGGTAACCCTTTCAAATGGTCTCTGACAAAGAAGATTTTGAAAAAAGTACGACAAAGCGAAACGACGGTGGATAATTTGGAGGCAATCTCCTTGTCATCGTGCACATAAGTGAGAAATTCATTGACGATGGCACATCCAAGCCGCTGATGGCCGAGAGTTCAATATGATTATAGGATCGCTATGTTTTTCTCCCTGTCAAACAGTAGCAAGTTGAGTTCGCGGCTCTGTCCACTGTCGGTAGCCATATCAGCTTCAGAGAATGCAACGTGATATTGTTATCTTCACGAAATATGCCCTGCAGGCAGGAGGGAGCCTCCCTGTCAAACAGTAGCAAGTTGAGTTTGCGGCTCTGTCCACTGTCGGTAGCCATATCAGCTTCAGAGAATGCAACGTGATATTGTTATTTTAACGAAATATGCCCTGCAGGCAGGAGGGAGGGTCCGTGGTAACTACGAAGACGTACTCCATGTTTTCCGTGTCAAGCGTTTCCAAGCCGTGCGTGAAAACACACTGTTAAAGACAAGATTCGGGATAAAATAGGTGTTGTACAACTCTGAAGCTAGAGGTGAGGATTTTGGAAAAGAAAAGGAAAGCGAACCAAACCACCGATTACGCCCCACACCGGGACCTCCCCTACTTCAGCTGCATTCCACGTTGGTATAGAGAAAGAGCGCGTTGAACGATTTTCACAAACCCAACCCTAGTTGTTCCAGTGCCAATAACATTAAGTCGCAATGGGACTGCTGCCTCAAACCCGCCCGCGCTTTTCAAGCAGCGCCACGTAGAAACCGACAGCGGGGAGTGAGGCTTGCGGAGGAAGGTGGGAGTTGCGGTTTGAATGAGCTCCTTGCGCCTTTGTCGCGCAGTTTCAAGCGGCAAAAGAGGCGCGACATCAACGCTTGTTCGCCTGTCTACTACTTACGGGGTGGAGCAGGTGAGCGCTCCTGATCTCGGAGCGTGCCTTCAAAACTATAACTGGTCCAATTATTTTAAGCTTAGTCAGAATCAAGACTTTTTCTCACACTTCCGTTCAGGATTAGATAAGTGACCCGATCACGGATATCTCATGCTTTTTTTTCGCCAACGCCATTGTGGAGCCACAACATATAATTTCCAGCAGTCGGAGAAAATTCATCCTGATGGGGTTATTTATGGTCGCTGATTAAGAAGATAGTGCTCATTATGTAGTGAGTGCTATTTGGCAGGGAGCGCTAGCTTGCAAGAAGCTGATTATCGTACGGAGCCGGACCAACACCCTTCCATATCGTGCTAAACAGAGACCATGCCAGCATAGATTATGAAACCGTAATACATTCTTCAGCACATAGCTCTGACAATCGCATCATTTTGTTCAAACTTCACATTTTATTCAATATACGGTAAAAAGGTACCTCTGATATGACACCGGCCAACGCTGTGGTCGACACAATCCACAATGAAACAGCAGAAACAAAAGTTCTCAAGATATTTCTTTTCGCCCATCCTTGAGTATTCAAGGAGCCGTTAACCGTTTACGACATTGTGCAGCGCATGCGCTTCACACCTTGAAGACCGTGTGGGACCGTGGGCAGCGCATGCGCTGCACACACAAAATATTAATTTTATTCGCGCACGCGCTATTTCTTTTCTAATTTTTTGCATCTATTCTATAGAGCGCACCATAATATGACTATAGGCGGCGAGGTTCATCGAATGGTTGAATATGCTCCTTTTTAGCGAAGGTTTTCCAAGTCCTACGAATTTCCCAATCTAGTTCATTCCTAGTTTTCTTTATATTCTGACAACCTTGGTCATGAAAAGGAGTATTAGAAGTAAGTACAGACCTACACATATGTCAAGATATACGTTTTTAGTGGAGCAACGTTTCAAAAATAATTTCAGGATTTAATACGGCAAAAGTAACTGAAACTTGCCTTTTCATTGCCGGAAACGTCAATTCGATCGAACTTTTACAGTTGTTCCTTCTCATAAATCTGACACATCGAATATCACTCGAAACATTTTGTTGCATCCGAGTTTTGCGTACTTAAAGCTCAAAATTCACGGGTTTTATGCGAGGCGGCGGCACCAGCAAAATCGCCGTGATCCCACGCGGCGCAGAAACAGAAAATGCGCGTTGTCGTTAACGTGTTAAGGAGAAATGAACCATACTACTGTGGTTGCCGCGCTCCTAATGCAGGAAGCCATTTTGAAAAAGGCTTGGTTTGCCCCAAAGACCTCCCAGGTAAGCACAAGCGAATGCTTAGGCATAACCTGACCTTGTTCCGAAGCCTTAGCCTAAACATAGGCATCAATTATCGAGCAGCTCTGTTGAGTTGATCTAGCGAGAGACGTGAATATCTTCTGGTAGGGGTCAAGGGGCTGCATGGAAGGGGTTGTGGGGCAGCTACGTGACCACAGGATGGATTAGATTTCAACATCCGAATTGGGAGAGAAGACGATTCAGCGTCATAGATCAGAAAGCAATAAAAAAGTGAAATATTCTCACAATAGATAGGGAGGCCAAAATGATTTCCAAGTGACGGCCTCCAAGAGACAAAGCATCCCACTAGTAACATCTGCGACAATTTAACGGTAGGAATTCGAAGAGTAACAGTTCCCTAAGTTTTTGTAATGTCCATGAAAACAAAGACACGTTTTTACTCTGGTCATTGTACCCGTCCTAGTGGAGTATGTGTCTCAAAATTGGTCAAGGCCAGCGATATGTGAAGGGAATACACGAGCTTTGCATTCATTGGGAAGAATCTAAAACCAGCAAACATTCTTAGGATGAGTGGATTCTACGTCTTACTACGAAAGGTCATTTGGTCAACCTAGCCAAATAAAATGAGAACAACATGTCTATCTGCATCGTGAAACGCTGACCTCAAATCTGCTTTCGCTATCTGCTGAACTCTTCGTTGGAAGGAACTATGAAACAGAAAAGCGCAGCGGCAATGGTTGGGCTCGTAGACAAGAGGTCGTGGGATCGACTCCTTGGCGAACATACTCATTTGCCGTTTGGAGGAACATAGTTAGTAAGATTCCTGACACCGATAGTCCAACTCGCTCTCCTATAGCTTCCTGTACAAGGAATTCAAAGGTAGTTAATAACGAATTTGGACGGCATGCGCTCCTGAATAATTCTGGCGCCTGTAGCGCAGGCGCCAAGTATTTTCGCGCCGAACAAGTGTGAAACTCGTGACCATAGTCGAACTTCCTTTTTGAGAAGACCTACAGACATTTCTAAAATCTTAACCTAACCTCGAAAATTTGGACAGTCACTCACTTATCCATCAATCCAGTACAAAATGCTGGTGTTGGACTGGAGTAAGCCTTATAATCACATTCCAGAAAAGAAAAAAATACTAGGTTGAATGTTGAAATGTCGCTTCCGTTTGTGCCTTTGCTTCTCAGCTTAAACACAATCACATAGGATCTGGGACCATTCATTCGAAAGAGTGATTCAGTACGCATATCTTAGGTGCTACTGAGCGGATGTTCTTCCCAAAACTTTTGCTTGAAGATGGCTGATCAGAAATCATCGTCTGAGCGTATCTATTCAAGCAACGAAATACGGCCAGCGAGGCCCACTCATTGTGTGGAAAACATTGAGCGATAACACCTAGTTGCTGATGCACTTTCAACTATGGTTTCGGCTCTTTTAAGACTGAGGTAGTGGGACCTGGCGACGAAGATCGTGGATTTTGACCTCTAGCTTTAGATGAGGAAAAATAAAGAAAGCCAACGAATTGAAACCTCGACAAACCGCACAAAACTTGCGCTGGGGTTCACTTGTGTCAACTGATAAATTTGAAGTTCTGCGTGCGACTGTTAAGGCCTTTCAGGAGAAAATTATTTCGGCCTACTGTGAGCGACGCAAGCAAGCAGTACTGGTTCCCAATGCTGGAGCTTCGCTCCATATCTTCAAGAGGAGAAAGGTTCTTGACTTCGCGTTGATCTCATTTTACAATAAGATGTTTCCCAATTACAACGCGAGAAGAGGACCGTGGTCGGCGGCCGATGGACGGCTTAGGGTGACTTCAAAACCAGACATCCATGGAAACAATGTCATGTTTATATATGGTGATACAGTAAAGCAACGGTGTACCATGGAATAC